TTGCACAAATCTGTTATACGTTTCATGGAGCGCCTCCCCTGGTGCAGCCTTGAACGCATCATAAGCAGTTAAGATGTTTGCTTTCTTCGTCTTCAGTCCAAGATCCGTTCCGATCATCAGCTTCTTTACTTCATCCCACATCTCTTTAGCAGTCTCCATGCTATCAATCAGAATGTAGATGTCATTTGGGATTGCTTGTAGCAGGAATGTCTTTGCCATAAGATCAGCTTTGATTCTCTGTCTATCCTCTTCAGTGTACTCAGCCTTTGTCTTCAATCTTCGTTCTTGATTAACAGGTGGGTTGTTTGCATCAACGCCATTCACACTTGCCCAAATCTCAGCAGGTCCTTGGGTGAGGGATTCCAGCATAGCGGAAGAGTTGTCTTTACTTTCTAGAAAATTTAAGAATCTTGTTCTCCACATCTGGTATTCTCCTCTCCTCAGTATTGGGGGCCTACTGTCATTACCAAGTGATAAAGCATCCATCTTTGCAGTTGTTGATTTTGAAAAAGACCGTTCGAGTGTTTTGATCAGATAAAATTAAGTTTTTAACTGTAGAATGTCGAAAACCTAATTTTCAGGAATAAGTTCGAGAAGTGGGTTCGAGAACTTCTATCGAGAAGCAGTTTTCGATATTTTGATGTCGAAAACCTTGCTATCGAGAAGCTAGGTTCGAGAAGCAGCTTTCGAAAAGTCAGTATCGAGAACTTTAAGTTCGAAAACTTAGGTTCGAGAACTGAATGTCGAGAAGCCGTATCGAGAACCTGCGAATGCGAAAACAAGATATCGAGATTTTAATATTGAAAACTGAGTATCGAGAACGGAAGTTCGTGAACTCAATTCGAGAACTTATGTCGAGAAGTCAGTGTCGAAATCCTGCAAATCAAAAAATCAATTTTAAACAGATAAAACAGCTTTTCGGTAAAGTCCTTGATCTCGAGAACCTCTTTGTGCAGTTTGAAGATTGAAACACTTGCAGAAACCTCGAGAAACCTGCTTTTCGATATCAGAATATCGAGAACCTCAAATCTGAAACTTAAACAAATCGAAAATCTAAGATATACTGCTTGCTCGTTTTTGAGAGGCGATTTCAGCAGTACATCTTTTACACTTTTTCGTTCAAAAATGAGATTACAGCGATTAAAAGGGTACAATATCGAAAAGATGAAAACAGAGGACTTCGAAAACTTTTTCTTCGGCGATCACACTCGAGCAGGCTCTGATACCAGTTGTTGGTCCCAGTTTATGCAGACTAACGATCAGCTAGATGGTATCTGTAGATAAACAGAAAGAAAGATTTCACAGAATGATATGAGATGTTATCGAGAACAGAGAAATCTTCTTTCTATTATATCGAGAAGTATTTGGGCAGCGTAAGGCTAATGTGTATTGATCGATTTTGGTACCTGTACACAAGGCGCATATTTATAGGCGCTGTACAGGTTACCGATTTAGGTAAACCTTGGAAGTTGGGCCAAGACCTTTTTGGGCCTTATTCCCTTTACCTTATTTATTACATTATAATTACTAATCTAATACCATAGATGGTATAACTAGTCTACTTTATTAAACAAGACATTACAGACAAACTTGACCCACAATAAAAGTTCTAACACGTTCCCGTTAACTCATCTTGGCACGCGTTCCACTCCCTCACCATCTTCCTGGGCCTTAGCCTTACCTTTAGTACCTGTACATGCGAAGAAAGAACACTGATAAGCTTTACGCTTAGTAAGTCACTATGGATCCACAAAAATATCTAGAAGTCTATGCCAATTTATCAATAGATAAATTTAGGCTATAAGCATGCACTGAACAAATAACTAACACACAACTTCTCAAATACATTCTGAGGGAGATCTCAAAAGGAAAATATTTTCTAAAATAATTTCTCAAAACTACTGGAGAGATCTCAAAATTTCTTTCTCAAAACATCTCTGTAAAACTTTTTGAAAGGGATCTCAAAAACAACTTTCTGAAAGAGATCTCATTAAACCTTCTGTAAAACTCTTTGTGGCTAATTTTAACTGTGGGCCCGTGATATGTACTCAAAGGCGCCAATCCGACAGCTCAGGGGAGCGACCCACTAAACATATCGGACTATCTGAAACTGAAAACTGCTAATCTGAGGGAACTTGTTCCCGAGTACATATCACTTTATCTTTCACTTTAAATATTAGTTCTTTTTATGTGACGTTTGATTAAAAAAAACATCATCAAACCTGAAAATAAAAGTACTAACAAACTCTTGACTATGCCAGATAATAATCATAACTTAATACAACAAATAAAATACTTCATCACAGAATTCACCTAGTTCACATAATAGCAAATAGTCTAAAATTATCTATTAAAAATCAACCAGACTTCTTTCTTTCATTTGATTGAACAAACATGTACAGGTGGTAGTGAACTTACCTGTTAGCAGCTGAACTCAAAATGCTCAAATAAATGTGGCACCTTAATAACGTCTTCCGGCAAGTTCTTCTTAAGCTCTTTAATTAAATATAATAATTCTAATAAGAATCTTATTTTCAAAATACAATGATCTGCTAGAGAAAATATGCTACCCATGTGTAGCAACCCACTAAAACTATCATCATTAATCTAGCTATGTAAAAAAAAAATATAACGAACCCTTGCAATTGAAACAAAGCTTCTCTAGCTTAGAAAATCATTATGCAGCTCGCCATTTTTCCCTATATTCAAATGAAAAGCCAACCAGCAACCGCTGAAACAACCTTTTTTTTCAAAAATACAATCTTCTACAATTTTTTTTTGGCCTACGAAAGTGAAAATCAAAACTAAGATTTATTGAAGACTTATTGGCCAGAACGTACAGCTAAACCCGCAATGACATCCACTATCAGTAAGGTAATCTGATTTGTCGAGATTTTAATAATATAAACAAGTATAGTTTACGGTTGGAATTGCTGGTGTACGGGTGATGTTTACAGAAATTGGAAAAAGCTATCAACAATTGGATATTCAAAAGCCAATAGTAATTTAAAAGAATCCTTTTGGGTATATCAATTTACTAAAGTGGAACCTGATAGTGGAAAGCAGCACACTTGCAGTTTCAAAAAGGAAGATTTGATCTAATAACTTAAACTCAAAAATCAAAACCAACGGAGGATACTATCAAACTTAACTTGTGCTATCGATAGACCTAATTGTTCACCCATAAGAAAATAAGAACGATGCAGATAGAGATTAGACTTACACGGCCATAACAGTTTCTGAGAAGAAGTCGGCTAAGCAGAGTAGAGACGGATTTCTGATCTTGTTTGCAGCGAGTTGGGGGGAGAGAGAACTCTTACGGGAGTAAAGGGATGAACACTTGGCCGCTCTAGGAACTTGGTAAATGATATGCATATTTCTTTCTAGGGTTCCAAATACTGATTCGGGCCAAAATAACCTATTTGGGGCGTCTTAGACTTCTAAACACAAAAAAATGTTTTTGACCCGACTAAATTACTATATTCTCTCTTTCATAATTTATTGAAAGATATAATATAAAAATTAAAATAGTATTTATTTCTTTGATCAAATATTATTATGAACTTACTGGTCAACGTTACCTGCCAGAGAAACACATGATCAAACAATAAATCACATGTATTCATAAAATAAACTTATTTAACTGACGAAATAAAATAAAAGATTAATGTAACTAGATCGCTAAAATCGGGGTGTTACATGGCGAGCTTCACCAGAACAACTTGATGTCGAGGGCCTAATATCACTGACCATCGAGATCGGAGACAATTCTCACCAAGCGGCAATCTGGATAACATTCATGGTTGCCCGTGTGATGAGCGACCACAACACAAATTTGGCTCGAGCCTTAGTGCACAAACCCGTGATAGAGATGATATAAAAGTCTACTTAAATCCTTAATGATGAGACACCCAATTTCCTTCTAATACAACACTACGGGCTGAATTCAATGCTGAAACCTCACACTTTTGGATTGGAGCACACTATCAAAATCATCCCAAGGTGTGCGTTCGGTTCGACCTACAATGACAAATGTTGGATTTATTTCTTAATAATTACTTCGATAAAATGTAAGCATGTACATAAATAAATGGATTAAAATTAGGATGGGGTCTGGTGGGATTATGAAGAGAATGAATTAGGATGTTTTTACTTGGACTGAAATTTGATGGTCTGGTCTGGTCTGGTAATTGCCTAATCAATGTGTATTTATAACTGACTAAGTCTGGTCTGTTCTGATCTGATTTGGTAATTGTCTGATCACTGAGTATTTTATAACTGACTAAGTCTGGTTTGTTCTGATCTGATCTGGTCTGATCCAGTATGAGCTGGTCTAGTGTGGGAATAAATATAATCCAAAAGTAAAAACATCGGTACTTCGTTAGGAGATCGTGTGGTCTCGCCGTCTCGGCTTGGATTTAACTTCACACGAGCATAACACTCGCTGGTTAGTTGGATTGAGAATGTGTTCTCAAATTTGGAGGGAAACTTGCGTAGATTTGTTATGACTCTAAGGAACAAACTAATATGAAAAGGGGAGCAAATCACAAGTGTGCCACTGATGGATTTGGGAGGCGATAGCCCCTTGGATTTTCAAAATTTGTACTATGTATTATATAGGTAATATTTTTAAAAAAGTGTGTGTATATATATATATATATATTTGGATCAAATAAAAAAGGAAAAATTGTCAAATAGTCATCGTACTATTTAAAAAAATGTCAATTAAGTCTCCGAACTTCAAAATCAATCAATCGCACCCTCAAACTATTAAAATGTTCAATTGGTTGATTTAACCGATTATCAACAAGTTTTTCGATTAAAAGCCCGTTTGGTAACACTGGTTTTCAACTTATCAGGCTTATCAGCCAACTTTTTTACCAAACACGTAATTTTTGCTTTCGCGCGTTAAATTGTGTAATGAGCAGAAAAAAGTAAGGTTGAAGTTACTTTTCTGGCTGTATTGGCTGAAGTTACTATAGATGACCATTTAAGCTATTTTTACATATAATTTTTTCTTTATTTTATTAATAAAATATATTTTAAAAATAATTTTTTCTTAAATCAGCAGAATCAACTAATGCAGCCACTCCAGTCAGAACTTCATAAATTTTAGCAGAAACAGCTAAAACAGCTGATTTTCATGCTACCAAACGGGCTCTAAGTGAGTATATGACTGCCTATGTGGCTTTGTTTCTTAATGTATTCTATTTTTTTATAATATCTAAATTCGAAATCCCCATTTTGCCCATCTATTCCCTCAGCAAATTCTTCTTCTTCTTCTTCTCCAAAGTGCTCAAATCTTATATTTCTAGGAAGTGCTCAAATCCAACCCAGCGCCCGACGATCAAACCATTGGTGCCTTGTCCGAGTATGGAACCAGCAACGATGGTGGAGCTTGAAAGGATCATTTTCCCATGCCCGACATCGACGATAGAGCTTGACACGAGCCTTCCTCCATGCCTGACGGCGATGCTGGAGCTTGAAACTGCCCTTCTCTCGTGCGCGACAGATTCCCACCACTCTTAGAACCTATTTGGCAACACTCAAATCGACTTAAGTTACTGCTGAAATTTTTGAAGTTATGGTTTAAGTGACTACGAGAAAATAATTGGGGCAAGTTTCTTGGTTTACCCAGATGTCTAGATCTATCCACCTTAGCAAAGAATGAGAGACGAGCAGCAGGAGAACAAAAATGGAAACGATTGTGTATATATCTATGGCCGATTAATTCTGGTTTAGTTTCTACCACCACCGACACTTCCTGAGTCCTGATCAGTCCCCACAGTCAGGGCCGGGGCCGGGCCCGGGCCGGGTTGGGTCCGATTTTTTTTTGATTATTTTTATCCCCTAACCCCCACCCCCATCCCACAAAACCATCTGAAAGACCCATTCCAGCCCATTTAAACCCAGCCCAAAGTCCCAAACCAACAAAAAAAATGAAAGGCCTGAACCGGGCCCGGAACCGGCCGGGCCGATTCTCATTTACCTAAGCGCATACCCGTCCCGATTACCCACCCCAAACTGGGCTTAGACCCGGTTCCCGGGCCAGGCCGGGCCGGGCTCGCATAGTACCGGGTCGGGTGGCCCGAACCAGTTTCAAGCCTAGTTCAATTGAGCGATTTTAAAGTACACGGATCTAATTGATTTTTTTGAAATAGTACATTGATTTATTTGACAGATTCCCAATAAAAAAGAGAGTTTTTTACCATAATATTACTAATAAAAACATATTCACATAAATATGACTATTCATTACTAAGTACAACTTAGTATTGTGGTAACTAAGTTCAAAACTTGAACATGAAACACTATGATTTCATTACTACTCTAGTAACTAGTCATATTTTTGTAAACCATCTTTATTTTGGTCATATTTATGTAATTATTTCTAAAAAAGATGTCTTTTCATTTGAACTCAACCTATTTAGATATGTGTTTGTGTTTGCCCCATTAATTTTTGTTTTCGAAACTATTTTATAGTGTTACAAATAATAGAAAATTTACCATTAATATTACTTCTAGAAAATTGGTGGACAAAAATGTGACATGTCACTAATAATTACTAACTCACATTTTTATTCAGGACTTTTTTTTATTAGTAATGTTTTAGGAAAAACCTCTACATAATATAATACTTAATATGCATTGTATAAGGGGGGGAAATGTAAAATAGTTAATCTTAATAGACTATTTTTCTTAAGTTCACTTTTTTCTTTATGTACATCAACAATGCTATTAAATTCTTTGTTTGAATAAATAAATAATAGAAGAACTAATTGAGTTAAAATTTAGGGTACTTATTCTATGAAAATGCAATCTAATTTCCCTAAACTGTAATGTATACTTGATTGATAAAGAGAAATGGTGGTAAATAGGACTAAAAAAAGCCAATGTAACTAAATAGGACTAGGTCTTTTTTATACGTAAATACGACTTCTATTTCCCGTTAACCCATTTTTGCCCCTGCTTTCGTACCCTTTCCATCTTTTAACATCAGACTCGCAGGAGTCCAAATTTTAAATTGCTTTTTAGTTTTGCGGGTACAGTTCGGAACTTCGGACGGAATTCAGTCCGCCTTCGCTGGACAAAGCCAAAGTAGAAATCGTCAAACCAACTCCCCCCAACGGCGAAAGATTAGAGAAAACGCCGGTGGTAGCAACAACCAACTGAAGATTTACTCAGGGCTATATCGGCGAAGGCTAAAAAGCTCCGACACAGATGACGACATGGATGTTTTGCAGCGGCGCAGTGGCTGATCTGATCGACAGTTCAATTGCTTTTCTGCTTCTCCCCCATCTTATTCTTCTCACGGCTTGTTGTGACACTTTATGAAATTAGTCTCTTCGTTGTTCCACGGTACTAAATATTTACTATTTCTCGACTATTTTTGTTTCAATATATTTTTTGGTGTTTCCGGTTTGGTGTTGTTTTGTTGATAACGATGCCTTTTTCTGGTGTGATTTAGAGCATAATTTTGGGCATTGGCATTAAATTAAACCCATATCTTTAGTTTGTTTTTTTGTCCGCAACTCATAATTAATTTGCTTAAAGGAATATTTTATTAAAATTAAATTTTCCCCAAAGGATTTATTTTCTTTTTTTCTCTTCCTCCTTAATGGAATAGTTTAGTAAAGTTAAATTCTGAAAGTGTCAATATTAGTATCAACATATTTGACATTGTTGTTGTGATTATTACAATGTCATTATTTATATCATTGACATGCCATTGCCATTGACATTCTTTGACATTGTAATGTATTTCTATTTTTTGACATTGTGATTTTTTCCAATGTCATTTTTATCTTTTCTATAGCATTAATATTAACATTGTCGAAATTTTCAATAATTAGTAAACTAATTGATACATTCATTATTGAGAAGGAAATATACGGAGTACTAAAGAAATTTGGGTAGTTGACCAGTAATTCCATTGCATACCAAAAAAGAAATTGGAGAGAGATTTAAATTATCAACACTTCAATCAGCATACAAAGCAACACCAATCTCACATACATCAACTGAGATACGGTAGAATGCCGTTAAATTAATTTTCAAAATTGAAACTGCACACGTTCCAACTGATAATGTAAAGAAGAAATGAAATATTGATGCCCTAGCGTGGTCCAACAGCAGAGACAACGATGGACATACATATGAGGAATAGAAGAAGCTATATTGACCTGTGTATTATGTATAGTAGGGAACGAATTGGGTGAAAACTGCAAAAAAATCGCCAACCAAATAGCGAAGCTTCTAGGGAATGGAATGGAATAATAAAATTGATTAATTTAAATCACCCCCATAAACTAATTCCCAGTGACACACTAATAGAAACATACAAACAGGGGTCAGGGGATGAAGACTCAAAACAAAAACATACGGAGCAATTGCACTACAATTATAAACACACATACTACGGGCTCGCAAATATCAGAGAACAGGGGCGCCGGCTCGCTCCCTACATCTGCCAGCGGTGGCCGCTGAAATTTGGACAGCGATGGTCACTTAAGGTCTAGCGGTGGAGTTCGGACGGTTCAAGCTTGACGTTCATTGTTGGAGGTGGGCGGAGTAGCTGTTTTTTGTTTCGCAGAGAAAACGTAGATCCAGTGGTGGATTGAGGGTATTTTTGTCCCCTATATGAAAATTAGTCCTATCCGTGAGTTAAAAAGTCTCAACTCCTATTTGCTTTCCTTTTGTATGTTTTAGTCTTATTGATGTCTTTTTCCCATTGATAAAAGGAATTGGATTTTGCAAAATAGTAAGTAATTTTAAAAAATATCTTAGACACTAATTAAACCGATAATATAAATTAAATTGAAAATATAAATGCTTGTGTGACATCAAATGACACAATTCATTTCGTTTTTGATTTTTTATAAAGAATTTATTGCATAATAAATAGACTTTAAAACATTCTAGCAACGATACAAATACATTATGTAATATAAGTCATATTTTTGTGTTTTGAATTTAATTTAGTAATATTCATAGAAAGGCCAAATAAAAAAGACTCATTGCGACTTAATTACAAAGTTACAAGCACTCATGTTAAACAAAAAACGCATAACTTATTGTTGGAAATTTTGTGGTATTTCAAATGAATAAGATTTTAATTATTTTTGTGGGAAATTTTATCATGACTCAAAAGATCATTTTTCTCCTCCATATTAAAGCAATGGAATCCAATGATAAATTAGTGTTTACAACGTAACTATTAGTGTACTTCTAACGTTAGTCCTTTTGATTTAAAACTATTAATGATGAAACGTTTTCATTATTTAATCTCCATTATTACATGTTTAAATGTTTCTCTTTGTTGATGAGTATAAATCATACGTGTGTATGTGTTTTACATTAAGAGATCTTTTTGGTTTTACTACATGAGTGGAATAAGGGAAAATACACTATCATACATACCTACAGTATAAAATATATACATATGTGAAAGCATACGTGTATATGGAGATGAAACTTGAGAGTTTTGTTGGAGTATATCAAAAAATATTTGAATGATAAAACATGTATTTGTGCAACAACTCCTAATATATTATTACTAGGTTCATATACTAATTTCTTCCCGTTAGTTCTGGTACCGGTTTTATAACTGAAGGGCTCGTTATATCTTGGGGGAAATTTCCGTACGCCGGAAATAATTCCTTAGGACAGCGTCTGACGCGTCTCGAGCCACTAACATATTTTTAGTTGTTTTTAGTGATTATTTTGCAGGTCAATTTGCGGAGCTAGATGGTCAATGAGGTCAATTGAGGAGCAACACGGTTAACACGTTGAATTTAGAAGGATAGAGCCAACAATCTAAGGAATTATGGCGAATAAAGATTACACCTATGGTTGTTGGAAATTTTGTGGTATTTCAAATGAATAAGATTTTAATTATTTTTGTGGGAAATTTTATCATGACTCAAAAGATCATTTTTCTCCTCCATATTAAAGCAATGGAATCCAATGATAAATTAGTGTTTACAACGTAACTATTAGTGTACTTCTAACGTTAGTCCTTTTGATTTAAAACTATTAATGATGAAACGTTTTCATTATTTAATCTCCATTATTACATGTTTAAATGTTTCTCTTTGTTAATGAGTATAAATCATACGTGTGTATGTGTTTTACATTAAGAGATCTTTTTGGTTTTACTACATGAGTGGAATAAGGGAAAATACACTATCATACATACCTACAGTATAAAATATATACATATGTGAAAGCATACGTGTATATGGAGATGAAACTTGAGAGTTTTGTTGGAGTATATCAAAAAATATTTGAATGATAAAACATGTATTTGTGCAACAACTCCTAATATATTATTACTGGGTTCATATACTAATTTCTTCCCGTTAGTTCTGGTACCGGTTTTATAACCGAAGGGCTCGTTATATCTTGGGGGAAATTTCCGTACGCCGGAAATAATTCCTTAGGACAGCGTCTGACGCGTCTCGAGCCACTAACATATTTTTAGTTGTTTTTAGTGATTATTTTGCAGGTCAATTTGCGGAGCTAGATGGTCAATGAGGTCAATTGAGGAGCAACACGGTTAACACGTTGAATTTAGAAGGATAGAGCCAACAATCTAAGGAATTATGGCGAATAAAGATTACACCTATGGAATTGTCAACGTGCCCGAAATTCTATTTGAGACAAGCGGTGAAAATTCTAGCTCCCGCTAAATGATCAAGTTTGTGGTATG